AACAACAATAATAATAATAATAATAATAATAATAATAATAATAATAATTATTATTATTATTATTATTATTATTATTATGCCGAATTTGAGGAATGCCATTGGATTCGGATGGCGCATTAGGTGGATTTAAGGCAATGAATTAGGGAAACATTTGGGTTGCTTCAACTCGATAGGAGAAGATTCGACGAGTTGGTACTCGCATAAGCTTTCCTTTGTCTATTCCAGCTTCATTGAATGAATAAGGTTTGATAAGTTTTACATTAAATTGACAATAGTTGTCAACTTAATTGCATACTCAAATGAGCTATTTTGCCTTGTGATGGTATTTATCTTCTACTTAAATCATCATTTAGCCTCCCTCTCATAATATAAATCTTGTGCATTTTCATGTATTAGTGCTTCTGACTGCCCTCCTTAGTTTGTTCATTTGGCTTGCTTATACCATTCAAATCAAGTGAATAGAAGCATAGGATCCCACAAAATAGGGAATATTGTAGTCTTGGACATACAATGTTCAAGACAAGTGTTGGGCGATACCATCGCCTGCAGGATTGACAACTAGCGGTGCCACTGCCCAATCTAGACGGTACCACCACTTGACAATCTGGGAGACTGTGTCTGAATGGTACCATCGCTAGTCTAGGTAGTACTACCACTTGACATTGGCAGTACCACCATCGGGTCTTCTGAAACTATATATTTCATACGTTTCAGCTCATAGGCGGTGGTAATACCAGACCCTAGGCCCAAATCAAGCCCGACTCAAGCCCAATGAGCCCTTAATTGAGTTAACATGGTTACACCTAAAGCTAACTCAATTTAGAACTAAACTACTTCGACCCAGATACACATGATTACAAGTATGAATTCTATATTGTTCGACATGTCATTGGTTTATCTGACGCTTCGTTCGAACCCTAGGTGCATCGTTCTCTCCTTCGGTGTATTGCCCGATCCATCGGCATGTTGACCTCCCATAACATCTAATCTCCTTAGCGCAATGTCCGATCATTTTAGCCCGATGCCTAAACTCATGGCACGAAGTCCTTCTATTAGCACGTCGATCGATCCTTTGGCCCAATGTCCAATCTTCTAATATGATCTATCCCGAGCCAACGTTTGATTCTCCTACTTCAATCGATTTATCTTTCCATGATCAAAGTTAGTCCTGTGTCACTCAAACGTTGATTGGATCATAACTTCATCAATTGATTTTATAATCAAATTTCGAGATTCAATGCTTCTTTTTGGTTTGATCTGCTTTTATGTTACTTCTTAGGTTCCCAATAAGGGTTTTCGCGTTTGTTGTTCTCAATCGGATTCACATATCTGATTATTTTTGCTAGTTTTTCTTTGATTACTTTCCATTTCTGAAACCCTAAGACCATTAACAGACTCTTGGATTTTTTTTTCCCAGTCATGGTTTCGATCCTTTGTTCGATCTTTTTCCGCCTTCTTTTTCCTTCAATTTTCTTTTTGTTTTTGTCTTTTCTTGGTTCTGATTTGATCTTCTTTTTATTTCTGGTTCTTATTTTTTGTTCGATTTTGCTTTTGCTTTGGTATTTCGTTTGGGGCTCTCAATCGGGTTCTTCTTTCTGATTTGATCTCGTTTTATATTTGTTCTTTGGTTCTCCATAGGAATTTTCCCCTTTGTTGTTCTCAGTCAGATTATTATTTTTGATTCGATTTTGTTTTAGTTTTATTTTTTTCTTGGATCTTCTTTCCGGTTCTTATTTTTTGACTCGATTTTGTTGTCGATCGGATTCGATTGTTGTTCTCGATCAGATTCTTCTTTTGCATTCTTCATATCTCAGGGTTCCGACACTGCCATCTTAGTTTTGCTCGTTTAGCTTGCTCATATTGCTTTAACCTAGTTTTAAGAATTGGAAAATTCCACAAGATAGGAAAGTGTTGGACGTTCGACTGTATGAATAGATGGTAACAGCTCTATTCTAACTTTCTCCTTATAATAAATATGTAGGACAAGATATTACTCTTGTCTCCACTAATGTAACCTAATTGAAACTTTTACTTTAGAGCAGCGGAACGGATTCCTTTTGAACATACATAGTTTATTGTGATGAGTTCACAGCAAAGACAATGTATGTGTGTATAAATGCTGTTGCAAGTGAATAAATGTAAGGCAAACGATTTTGGTTATTACACATATATCTAATATTAGTTTGATACATGCTGTTGATGTGTTAATCACTAGTTTTCTTTTCGATTTTGCTGATCAATATTTTTTTCTCAATTATCTTTGGCTAGCTTTACTTGCTCTTTTGTGTCTAACATCATCTGTTTCAGCATTTGGTCTTTTTTTTTTTAATTTCGATCTTTACAGCATAGTTTGAACAAAATACAACCCTGCAGCAATGGAGATGTACCCTTTGAATTAGTTAGATATGTGCTGTTTTGCTTACTCATCTGCCTACATAATTGAAGTATCTTGATTGTTTGTTAAGAAGTGATTTTACATACGAAGTTTGTATTCACATAATCATGACCCAAAGAGAGCAAATATTTATGTTCGTTTGAAGTTTATTTTCTTCCTTCCTGTGTTGACCTATTTCCATTTCTCAACTATGATATTGTAGTCTCGAAGTGCTTCACCACATTATTTGAGAACTGTGTCTTACAAATTGGGATTTTCTACTGCAGAAGTAGCTGATGTGGAGCTCGAACTTTAGGTGGTGCCTAATCATAAACTAGGATTTTCTGAAGCTGCTGTCTGGCCTGTGATTCAACATAAAAAATATGTAGCATGTATTTTGGTACCATAAATATTTTGTACTTCTACCGAGTGATGTCGGAGATATTTGGGCCACAACAGTCCATGATTGAATTTTGCAACTCGCATTATTTTCTTATTTAACAGCACCGGTGCTTTTTATTATTAATACACGATTTTTAATCTATTTGTTGCCTTGGGTTGTGTCAAGAAAAATTGACTTCCTTGCTTTACAACTATAACTAGATTGTTCAGGAGACAATTTTTGACTAGCCAATTGATCATGCTAAATTATCTTATTATTGGACATGCTTTTTTGTGTTTAATAGTATTGCTTTAGTGCATGAACCAGTTAATCATCTATTCTTGATTTTGTTTTATTCTATAGGACAACCAATTATTTTATTCTCTCTAATTTTTTTTTACGAGCTTTAAGAATAAAATTGGCACATTCTTTTGGTATCTTAACTGTTTCTTCTTTTTCTTATACTAACTTTATGATAGCTAATTAATTATCTAACTGGTCTACTAGTTTATTGAAACTAGTCACAGTAACTTTGTTTTACTAGCCGCAAAAATGATGTGTTTTACTTCACTAGATAAGATTTAAACATGGGTGCAGACCTCTTTACCTGTCTAAATATTAAGGTTTCTCTTTGCCTGCCTAAATATTAAAGATTCAAGTCAATTGAGGATAATCCATCTTTTTGCAAGCCAATATATGACTATGCTGTTTCTATAGAATGCTTAGACATACTTTTCCTGTAAACTTGGGAGGCGGGTCGGAGCAGTGAAGCTGGTAGATGATTCGAGAATATAACTAGTGTGCTGCATTTGAACCGACGAATAATTATTGCATTGGGGTTCTCGTAAGAAGAAACAAGATAGAGAGAGCACTATCGGTTTTGATAAGAGTTTATTAGCAGCATAATGGCGTTGTGATGGCTGCTGAAGAAGGGAGTTATTAGCAGCAAAGACTTGGGTGGGGTGGGTGGTGCAGAAGAAAGCTTGGGTCGGTGGGTGAAATTTAATTATTTTCAATTTAAATATAGTTATTAGCAAGGTTTAGTCCCACATCGTAATTATTTTCAAGCTAACATCTTTTTATCAATCCGTCGATCGGTAACGCTGTTGTCTCTTCGAAGACATCCGATAAAATTGGAATGATACAGAGAAGATTAGCATGGCCCCTGCGCAAGGATGACACGCACAAATCGAGAAATGGTCAAAATGTTTTTTCCGATTCGCGTTCTCTTGTTCTTGATTTGATTTCCTATCCTTTTGCCCTTCCTTCTCTGATTTGATTTCCCAGCCTCCCCTCTTCCTGGTTCTTCTGATTCGATTTTTGTTTTTGGTTTCTTTCTTATTGGCTGCTACAATCTGGTTCTTTATGATTTAGGGTTTTGTGCTCCGTTTTTTCCCAAATCGAGTCGACTCGCTTTCATTTTTGGTTTCTTATTGGCTGTTAATCTGGTTCTTTAGGATTTAGGGTTCTGTGCTCCTTTTTCTCCCATTTGTGTTCTTATTTTGGTTTGTTTTCCATTTCTTTTTTCTTTTTTCTGCTGAATTTTTTCCTCGCTCTTAGTAGTGTTTTGTCTCCTTTGTGGTTTTTAATCAAGTTCTCGTTTCTATTTCTCTCTCTCTCTCGATTTGTTTTGATTCTTCTCCGGTTCTGGAAACCTGAGGACATGGATGGATGGACTTCTGAGTTCGCTTCGCTTTGGATCACAGCACCATTCTTTACTCGCATAATGAGCAACGTTATCAGTTACGGCGCCGGCTGAATTGTTTTTTATGTTATCGACGGATACTCTACTCTTCTTCTTGACTTGTTCGACTTCTGCACTCCCATGAATACATGCTTCTGGTCGAAGACGGCGTTATGTGTTGATGGTATTCGGACCTCTTTGTCAAACATTGTAAGATTTGGTTCCTTCGCTTTCCGTTTACTTAAAAGTTATACAGACATGATTCGTTTTTGCGTCTAACCATGTCTGGATTGGCCATCTCCTTCCAAACATATATGATTGTGTTGTATTTACAAGTAAAGAAAAAAAAAAATGTATATGTTGTCGAGACTGCCGAGCATAACATGATATATGCATAAACGACAAGTTCTGGATGATTTTATCTTTAGAAAACCTTTAATGATCTTGCATGAATATTTTCTTTCTTGTAAAGTAGAAACCCATTTTTTTGAAGACTTCGATGAATCATACACCTTAAGGTTTCCTTTCTGTAGCAGACAAGTATTGAATGACTGGCATCATAATTACGTCTGTTTGTATATATGATGAAGACCTGAATTAGTTGCTTCTGACTTTGCACTGGCTACACAAATAACTGTAAAAATGTCTAGTGTTCCTTTATTTTCATTTACTAATGTATTTTTTTTTTTATTTCGATTTGAAGTATCACCGATATCTTAACATGTGAAATTCTTGTGTATGGCCCAACTCCCATTTCTAACACCATATCTCTGTCGTCAGCAATATTGGCTCTGCTGTTGCCTATTGGAGAGGTAGCAGGTTCAGCACCAAGAAATGGTTTCCATCTGTGTGCCATTGACAACCTAGAAACTTCAACTCATAGGATGAAGATGAAGCATGACACGAGTGCCATGCCCTTAACGATCCATCATGAACTGAAAGGACGTGATAGCTTTTAACAATCTGATGGTCTTGATACATGTGAATTAAAGAGTTGCTCACAGCATTGTATGTCAACGGAAGAAAGTTGGAAGAGCGAAAAGAAGGCAGTTTGATCTATTCCATTGTCCAAATGGTTTCAAAATCAAGGAAGGTTTTCTCAAGCATTCTAGACAATATCTAGTAAAGTAAGGTGCTTAGATAAATCTTGCTGCATGCAACCAGTGTAGCTGTTGCGCTATCTTGTGCCAGCACAATGTCAGGACAGGCCAGTAAACAGAGCACTAGGTTGGCACAAGCTTCTAGTGGTCGGTCATCTCTGTTCCCTCGGTGTCTTGGCACTAGGACATGCCAATGAAACTGTGGGCTATATAACACGCTATGCTGCTCGGATTCAGCAACTTTAAACATAAGGTATCACAGCATCATTAGCACACTTTGCTGGATTGTTACTTGATAATCGTAAGAAGTAGGATCTTTTTTCATCATCATGTTATTTTTGCAGTTCAGTCCATGGATTGCTTCATGACTACATCCATTTTAACCATGATCTTTCACTGTATTTAGCTTATGCCAATCCTGACTATCACATATCAGAGTACGTACGATGTCAACTCTATCAAGAACTTTTGTTCCCTTAGCAAAATCTAGATTTCATTCGTGGCGTCCCAGCTATCTTCCTGTGACTATAGTTTTGGTTACCTTTTCGTATGTTGCCATTTAAATCTCCTTTCTCATCTTGATTGCAAGAGTTGATGTTGTTGTATCCAGGGTCTACGATTTGATCACATTAGCCAGAAGAGCCTCTCATCTTATACGTATGAAATGCCAGCACACTTGTGCCGACCATGCAGTGTCATGCATGTCGAAGAGCACTAATTGCATCATTTGATTCTGAAATTACACTCAATATTGGTTGCGGAATATACGAGGCAAAACTCTGTGCTACAGCATATCGACTGTTATTACTGTCAAGTGATTGGCAGGTATTCTTATTTTTCCAAAAGAAATTATTGTGTTTCATATTTTGAATCTTCCAAATAAATTTACGAGGTTTATCCATAGTATAACAATTAATTTTGTCTTTCACACATAAATTAAGTTTCCTATTTTGAAGTCTCAAAATAAATTAATCAGATTCTTCCATCGTATAACAATTAATTTGCTTTTGTGCAACAAATGCATTGGGTAGCCTAATTATTAATTTTTATGATATGGAAGAATCTGATTAGTTTATTTATCTGCATTTATCGTGTCCTCTGTGTGATACTAAAATGACTCTGTTGATCGTCTTTTCTTTATCTGTGAATTTTCTAAATGATGTTGGCAGTACGAAAGAACGAGTCTGATCTCAAAAACTCTTGACTATGTTCATTGTTTAACAGGTATTACTCATTTCTACTACTTGTTGCCACAATTTTATGTTGGCTTAGTGTGAAACTCTTCAAGCAGGCCTGAGTTGTCTCCATCAGTTATAATGATTACCAACTCTGTGTCAAGATCAAGCAAACATTGTTTTGTGAAATCAAAGGACCAACCATTTGAAATTTTTTCGGGGGATAAAGTCTATTTATGTTATCGATGATTGGATTATGGTTTGAGAATTTGTTATTCCTTAGGTATTATTTGTTTTGGCCCATTGATAGTACCATTTTGCCACAAATGTCCTAGACTCTATAATATGGATTATTAGTTGCATGAGTATATTAGGGATATTTTAACCCATGGTTCATGTGAGTTTACCTTTGGAAAAGATGGCTTAACAGGAATAAGGTGGACTTCTCATAAGCCACATGCTTTCTGGACTTTATCCAATATGACAGTATTGGTTTATCACCCAAATATATCATGATGTATTGTTCTTGTTAAGAATATTGCCGCACATCCAACAGTTTCTGACTGCTTAATTTCTGCACGTATTTGTTCATGTAAAGTGATTTGTTGCATCCAACCTGACTGACATTTCATCTGTTCAAAGTTTTGGCCCTTCTTTACCATATATTCTTCCATAAATCTCCCATCTCCAGAGTGGATAAATTCTTAATAGGAAATGTGTTTGTATTTGGTAACATAGGATGATTGAGATTACTCCTTCATTTTGAATGTGCATTCGCATGCATGGTCTGATGTTTGAGGGAGAATCTATTTTCTAGACATAATATTCACCCAAATATAGATAGTTCATTCTCTATAATAATTAGCGGAATGTATACCAATATAATTTTCTTTTAAGATTTCTTATTTTTTAGTAGATTTAATTTTTATTCTGGACCCGTTGTTTTCAAACTCATTTGATCATCCCATGTTTTCGCAATAAAATTATAAGGTTCAAATAAAGTATATACCATTTTTTCTTGGAAAATGAAGTAACAAAGGGTTCGGTAGACCTGATCACGGTTTCAGAATTAATTGTTTGGATCTTGTAGAAAATGATTTCGGCAATGGATCATGAAACATATCTGTTTTTTTTTTTTTGAAAACATTTGGAAAACTATATTATGTAACAAAACCTTTTTTCTTGAAATTTGAAAGGAAAATGCTTATGGTTCAATATGCTATTGCTTACCTTATCATTCTGATTAGAATTGTAAATTAATGTGTTTGATTTAGAGAAATTGACGTTTGTTTTTGAAAAACTCTATTCTGTGACAGCACCTCTTTTTCTGGAATTTGAAAGGAAAATGATGCTTATTCCAGCTTCTTTTTGTCTAATCCAGCTTCATTCGATGAATAAGGTTTGGTAAGTTTTACATTACATCTACAATAGTTGTCAGCTTAATTTCCTGACTCAGATAAGCTTCTTGCCTTGTGGTGGTAATTGCTCTCTCCTTAAATCATCATTTAGCCTCCCTCTCATAATATAAATCCTTTGCATTTTCATGTATTAGTGATTCTGATATATATGTATATATGTATATATATATATATATATATATATTTACATATATATATGTGTATATATATATATGTATATATGTGTATATATATATATGTTTATATGTATATATATATGAATATATGTATACATGTATATATGTATATATATATACATATATATATATATGTATGTATATATATATGTATACATACAAATATATATACATACATATATATATACATACATACATATATATATATATATATATATATATATATATACATATATATATATGTACATACATATATATATATATATGTATACATACATATATATATATATATGTACATACATATATATATATGTGTATATGTATATATATGTATATATACATATATACATGTATACATATATATATATATATACATACATATACGTATATACATGTATATATATATATATACATATATATATATATGTGTATATATATGTGTGTGTGTGTGTATATACATGCATACATATACGTATATATATATATATATATATATATATATATATATATATATATATATATATTTATTTATTTATATATCTCTGAGCGGTATACTAATGTCAGTATGGTACAAAATTACGAACCTTAGTAAGGTACGAACAATCTTAACCCTGCAGCAACCGAGTTGCATTCCATGAAATTGTCAGCCCAAGTATTCCAATATTGTGTTTCCACATAATTGGTGTCCTGGTTGTCAATCAAATAGTTAACATTTTCTTTACATAATCTTGTCCCACAAAGCACAGAGATTTGTGTTCATTTGAAATTGATTTCTTTCTTCAAATGAATTTGTCAAATGCTGGAAATGAGAATATCACGTCTTCTCCTTGTCTAATGCAACGAGGAGAAGAAAATGAGGCGACATAGTTGAGGCAGCGTACGCCTCCTTTTGTACCGTAATTCGATAGGTTACGAAATTACGAACCTTAATTTGAACAATCTCAAACTCTGCAGCAACTGAGTTGCACTCCTAGAAATTTTCAACCTAAGTTTTCAAATGTATAGTATTGCCTGTTTGTGTTTCCACATAATTGGTATCAAAAAAGTTTATCTACAAATATTTACTTTACATAATCACGTCCCACAAAGCACAGATATTAGTATTCATTTGAAATTGATTTCTTCCTTTCCTCTATTAACGCATTTACTTCCATCTTGCAGATTTGAAGCGTTTCACAACATAGTTTGCATTAAATATCTACTGCAGAAGTAGCTGATATGGAACTTCAACTCTTGGTAACGCCTCAGGTAAAACTAGAATCGTCTGGTGTTGCCATACAGCTTCAATAAAGTTCACTTATAGAAGCAATTGGGACTAGTATATAAGCTTTTTCTGGGCAAAAAGAACTATATCAAAATGTATATGTTATCAGGGATTATGTGCAATGTGGGTTAGCAATCACTAATGTGTTTGACTTTGTATGGTGCTTATCTCATCTGTATGCTTCTTGTGCTGTTTCTCCAGTATATAGTGAAGATGCAATAGAGTAGCAATTTCTTCTCCTGTCTTTGAACTATGTCCTTTGCTTTGATGATAATGAGGGTAGTTGATAGTTTCTTTTTCCTTGGAGGAAAGAAGAAATCCTCTAAGAGAAAAAGAAGCGAGAAGAAAGTCAAAGAGAAGATCAGAGAGAGAGAGAGAGAGAGAGAGAGAGAGAGAGAGAGAGAGAGAGAGACTGGGATTGATTTTAGAATAAATGTTTTGTTGATATTAATATTTCAATCCTATACTGGAAAGGCTTAAGAATACTCTTTGATGTTTGTATGTCAGGTCATATCATTCTTAGTAGATCTATTTTTGGAGTCCTAATTGGAAATAAAAGTTGGTCGATCAGTGTCTCTGACAAGAAGCAGAGTCTACATGAGGTGTGTGATGTAAGATTTGATTTGGTTGAGTTTAGATTTAGCCAATATTCTAATTGAATAATGATCAATTTGAATTTTTATTTGTAGACTCCAAATTGATATTACTGACTTAGTTGATAAAGATTTTATACGTTGATATTTCATGTCTATCTGATCCAACTTGGATGAATCTACCCGGCAACGTGCTTCAGGTGAGCTCTTAGTTTGTTATTTGTATATTTTCTTATTAATTAATTCAAATTTATATCACTTAATGTAATCTAAAATCATTTATTATATAAATTTGTCATATTTTTCATTTTTATGTAGTTTACTTTATATTTACTTGAATTTTTTTTAAAAAAAATATTTTTATTTATATGTTATTAAACCAAATAATTCTTACAACAGAACAACCAATTAAATACGTACATGTGGTAAAAGTTGTAATGATATCTAAATATAGAAGTTTCTTTTTTTTTCCTGCCTGAGGATAAGAAGAATCTGAGTTGCATTACATTAAATAAAATAAAAAAAAACATTAAATCTCATCATTCCATATTTACTGTGCACGCATGGGATGCCAAAATGAGCCACGGAATGTGCTAAAAAGGGTCTCGAACAAAAGCACAAGTCCATGTCCGAAGCCACATAAATGAACAGTACCAAAACCCTAACAGCCATGGCAGCTGCATGCGTGTGCTCTCTCGGTCCGTAGTTACTGCTTGGAACCTATCTAAGATTCCTTGCTTGTTGCCGCAACTACGAGCGCTCATCACTCGATGCCATCTTCTTCGTGGCTGGTAGTCAGATAAGCCAACTGCTAGCCTTCATCTTCTACCCCCGTCATCACTTACCATCATCCTTTCGAGTGAGGTTACCATGTCCAGCTCTCCTGATGTGATATTCCTCACCCAAAAGAGGCAGAGATATGTGGGCAGAGGCGGCAGCAGCAGCTTTGGGAGGTACGTGGATCATGGTGCTCCGCTGTCTTGTGGCGACTTGGTCATGGTTTCACCGGCGCTACAGGCCACAAGGAGGCGACCAAAGATGGCAAGGCAAAAGCTATTCCCTCTCCCTCCACCACCGTCCAATGGCCACAGGTCAACACAACGTTTGGCCTTCTCGCTTGTCTTCGTACGGATTGATTCTTTTGGGTGCTAAAAACAAATGGCATTCACGCAGGCCTCCATTAAGGGAGTACTCGAAGGTTTGTCTTCTTCCCGACGACCGCGTTAAATTCAAGCTTGGCTGCTTCGGGCTCCATCTCTTTCACACGATAATTCTCTTTGGGTTAATTACCTAATGCGACTGCAACTAACATGAAGGTTTGTCTTCTTCCCGACGACTGCGTTAAATTCAAGCTTGGCTGCTTCGAACTCCCATCTCTTTCACACAATAATCCTCTTTGGAGTAATTACCTAATGCGACTGCATCTAACATGAAGGTTTGGGGATCAGATAACAAAGACCAAACAACATGTATAATAAATGCGAGAGTCTTTAGAGGTGGAAGTTAGGAAGGAGTTGGTGATAATACCAAGCTTGACTATGGTTTATGTTATTTTTACAATGGAAGTCTATTTAGACTAACAAAATTGCAACAACAAAATAAATAAAAAAATCATTCCAAACTTTAGTTGTTTATTATGATATGTAAAACGTATTGTGATGTATCAAACTAATTATTAAGGTTTGATAGTTCAAAATCTTAAATATTAGTCTGGTAATAATGTAACCAAACTCACTCACTAAAGATTAAGAATTTAATGAATTTTTGCCATGTAATAAAAAATTAAAATTTTAAAATGTCATCCGATATATTTTTAGACTTTCTTTGAAATTATCCTTGAAATTGTGAAATCTAGTCTAATTGACTTAAATTAGGGTAACAAAATGTTTTATAATTAACACACACACACACAAACTCAAAGAACCTTCTTTTTTCATGTAAGAGATTGTGTGAATGCCCAATGCAAGGGAAGCATCTCATGGATAATTAATTTACTCTAATTATTTCTTTGTAGTACGACGTAACAATTTAGAATGTGATAAAAGCTTAGCTTTAACTAAGTTCTACGATTAATTACACTGCTTTGAGTCAAACAACAAATCGAAAGACAACCTTTAATTGATCAAAGAAGTAGAAAGGGTAATGTGTGTTAGAAACTTAGGAACATGGTGAAAAATCAAGATATATATATATATATATATAATTAATTAATTAATTAAAAAATAGATTATTACATAAGTGATAGATTTCACACGTATATTCATTTATTTGAAAAGGATAAATAGTGAAGATGAGATATATTATCATCAAGGATAAAGAAAAGGAAAAAAAGAGAAGGGATTCTTATGATGGCTTCCTCTCTTTGTTTCATGGTAGGAGATAGAAATGAGAAGGAAGGTGTAAGTTTGTGTTTCGTTCTTTCATGGTTAGAAGATAGAAATATGAGAATGGTTGAAGAAGTGGGAACAATGGCGCCATGACAAGGACCAAACCCACTCTCTTCTCCACCTTCGTCGCCACCCCCAAGCGTCCTTGTCCCGATGGCCTCATCCTCACCAGATGAAGACAGGGCGGGTGGCCATGCCGTTCGCTGCAAGACAAAGGGGAGGGGGTTTGGAGGCATCCCCACGGAGGGCCTCCATGCACGTCCCCCACACACTTCCTCCTCCCCGGAGAAGAGACAAAAGCACAAGGAGAGTGGTGTTTTGTTTTGTTGAGGCGCCCTTGGCGGCTTGCGCGGCGAAGGAATAAAGAGGCTGCGTACTTATTCGCTCGCTCCCCGACAAACCTCCGAACTCGAGTCGCAATTAGCGTGGTGGAAGGAGCGGAGAGGGTAGGCGAGCCTGCCCGATGAGGACACCGACGCGAGGCGGACAAAAGGCTTCGCTTTTGTCGGTCGCCAGATCACGCCCTGCTTTGGCTTTCGTGGAGGATGGATGGTCGACAGTCTTGGGAGGCTCGGAGCGCTGGAGTCGTTGCATATCTCGGCAAATCTTGAACTGAGAGAGGGAGAGGGAGACGCCTTCCTAACATCTCAGGTGGCGAGCTTTTGGATCCGTTGCAGGAGGGGTTGATGGGGACGTCATGCTCCTGATGAACTAAAACCATCCTTGAGGTCTTCTGTGTTTGTTCTTTTTGGGCTCTCGCCCTTGTCGACTGCTTCTTCTCAAGGTTGTCTGCCTGTTCCGGGGCTCTCCTCTGTCTTGCTGCTACCTAGCTATCCTTCCTCTCTTTTAGCTTGTAGCAGTTGCTTCCTGGCTGGGAGCCCCGTCTGCTGCTCCTTTGTTTGCTATCCGTGCTGTGCTGTCGACGGCGGCCTCGCTGGAGAAGGAGAAGCGGGCGGCGATGACGCCTTTGACGGCCAACGTTGCCCGAGACGAGGGGTCGTCGTCGGTGACTTCGTCCCCTCTCAAGACCTTTTCCCTGATGTCGCTCTCCCCTCCTCCCCTCCCACCATACGCCCCGTGGTTGCGGGAGCTGAAGTCCGACGAGCGCGGCCTCTGCCTCATCCACCTCCTCCTCAACTGCGCCAACCACGTCGCCGCCGGCAGCCTCGACCGCGCCAACGCCTTCCTCGAGCAGATCGCTCTGCTCGCTGCCCCCGACGGCGACGCCATGCAGCGCATCGCCTCTCACTTCACCGAGGCCCTCGCCCGCCGCGCCCTCCGCCTGTGGCCGGGCCTGTACCACGCCATCGACTCCACCCGCACCGTCCTCCTCCCCCTCGCGGAGGCCGCAGCCGCCCGCCGCCACTTCCTCGACCTCTGCCCCTTCCTCCGCCTGGCTTTCGTCGTCACCAACCAGGCGATCATGGAGGCGATGGAGGGCGAGCGGGTGGTCCACATCGTCGACCTCAATGTTTCCGACGCCACCCAGTGGATCTCTCTGCTCCAAGGCCTCCGGGCGCGGCCGGAGGACCCGCCGCACCTGAAGATCACCGGCGTGCACGAGCACAGGGAGCTGCTCAACCGCACGGCGGTGCGCCTCTCTGAGGAGGCCGAGCGGCTCGACATCCCATTTCAATTCAACGCCGTGGTGAGCAGGTTGGACAACCTCGACGTCGAGAGCCTCCGGGTCAAGACCGGGGAGGCATTGGCCATCAGCTCGGTCCTCCAACTGCATTCCTTGCTCGCAAGCAACGACAGCGCCAGCGACCCGCGGAAGGCCCAAAGAGTCGCGCCGATCAGCCAGCTAAACTTAGGCGAATTCCTGGACAAGGATCACGCCGCCAACGGACACAGCTCGAGCGTGGAGTCGGCATTGTCGTCGCCCTTCGCGTCGGCATCATCACCGGCGAGGATGGACAGCTTCCTGGCGTCGCTGTGGGGTCTGTCGCCCAAGCTCATGGTGGTGACGGAGCAGGAGGCCAACCACAATGCGCCGGCGCTGAGCGAGCGGTTCGTGGAGGCGCTCTTCTACTACGCCGCCATGTTCGACTGCCTGGACTCCACAGTGCCGAGGCAGTCCATCGAGCGGCTGAGGGTGGAGAAGATGCTGCTGGGGGAGGAGATCAAGAACATCATAGCGTGCGAGGGATGGGAGAGGAAGGAGCGGCACGAGAAGCTACAGAAGTGGGCGCAGCGGATGGACTCGGCGGGGTTCGGCATGGTGCCACTGAGCTACTACGGGATGCCGGCCAGGAGGCTGCTGCACAGCTTTGGCTGCGACGGCTACAAGGTGAAGGACGAGAACGGGTGCTTCATGGTGTGCTGGCAAGATCGATCGCTCTACTCCATCTCAGCATGGAGGTGCAAGCGCTACGATTGATTCGAACACTTCCTTCTTCCTCTTCCTCTTGTTCGTAGTTTGGTTTCATTTCACGTGAACTGTTCCGTTCTTGTTCATGTACATAAATCATTTTTTGCCCAATTGAATGATCAGATGCTTTCTCTCTTTGCTATCATGTGATTTTGGTCCTATTAATCTTAGTCTCATGATGGAAAAAGGTCGATCCAAAAAATAACATTTAGAGATCAACAATACATACCGATAATAATTCTTTTTTCTTTGGAACTGTGCCGACACCGACACTTTCTCATATACATATATCCGTGATGTAGTGAGTTGGATAAGGTTGATTTAGAGGTCGAGAGATCTGAAACCATAGTCCATAGATTTTGCTGGGGACTCTCTTGTAATTAACTATATTTAGTATATTTATTTTTATATTTTTAAAAATTATATTAAAATTTTTATATTTACGAAGGTAACATATTTAATTTTATTTCTTCTCACGACGTTATCGATAGTAAATTGAAGTGAAACAGAATTAGTTTGTGCTCACGATATTTTCGTCAGTAGAATTAACGATACGAGTAAAAATAAAATTAAATATTTTATTTTCATAAATATAATTATCCTAATATAATTTTTAAAAATATAAAAAATAAAGATATTAAAAATAAATAATTACATATAAGGTTACATATAATTAATCCTCTGTTGAGGACTCTAACTCACCTTGGAAACTTCGTGAGAACCCAGCTTTTTTTTACACTGCATTTTAATCCACATGAATATTATTAACTGCAGTAGTCATCTAACTCTCCTGCATTTTGTACCAAAATGTCTACCTATCATGACAGAAACATCATCACGTTGATTCATGGTAGGCAGACAAAAGACATACTGACACTGTCCATCACTGTCTCTTCTTTCATGTATTCTTAAGGTGTGTGTGGATTAGTTTAGTCTTCCTTATATACACTACAATCCCTTCTCAAGCTTCTGCTGTTTTGAACATAACCAAATGTACACTGCTGAGGGGACAGACTACTTATCATCTACTGTGTGGAATTAATGGACTTACTGCAATCAAGTTTTTTTTATCCTATTTTACTTTGACTTTCACTTGCAAAAAAATCTCTATAGTTTTAGTTGTTTTTCTACAGTAGAATATTTGTGTTGGAATTTATACTATAGAAAAATAATTAGCTTCTTTCTCTACAAAAGTTTTTAATTTTGTTGAGCTCAAGAAATTCTTCATGAACTTGATCATAAGTTATGATAAAAAGAGGAGGAGGTTCCTAAATCATCATTAGGAGAGTCTAAATTGCTTGATCTTATTTACCTTGTCTAACAAGTCTTTAATTTTGTTGGACTCAAGAAATGTCTCCATAAACCTGATCATAAGTAATAATAAAGAGAGGAGAAGATTCCTAAATCATCATTAGGAGAGTCTAAATTGTTTGATCTTATTTACCTTGTTTAGCAAGTCTTTAACTTTGTTGAACTCAAGAAATATCTTCATAAACTTGATCATAAGCTATGATAAACAGAGGAGGAGGTTCCTAAATCATCATTAGGGTGGAAGTCAACATACTATAAGTCTAAATCATCACTGATATATAAGTTGTGTTTAACTTGTAGGACTGAGATTAAAATTTGATGCAACTCAGAATGGAAGACTAACTTGGATAAAGAGAAGTCTTTCCCGAATACATGCAAGTAATATAAATATTCTAAAATAGTTTACTGCAATGTTCTTCCTCCCAACCCTATTGTGAATGCATCAAGTCATATTGTAGGATCAAATAGCAGTCAGTTTATTGTAGGATCAAATAATTTACTAGCATTTTAGCAGCAAGTGAGTTTGACAAAAGTACAATTGTGCCTGTCACCCACCAATTGCCACCAAAAAGCATATGAATATAAGTTCAAAAGTTAATTATATGAACTATTAAATTTTTTGCAAAAAGAAATTACATACTTTCTATCTTTTTAGCTCAATTTGGGCTCACTGGATCAAAAGAATAATAAATTCTTATAAGTTTGGATTTAATTCCATGGAATGTCAATAAATGAAATTTTGAGTGGAGGATCTCTTTAATGGTCTCATTGGGTCTAACTCTATCAAGTACTTCAAATAGTTTCTCTTTTGTTTTTTATTAAAAAATTAATCTAATTTATTTCGTAAACAAGTCGGAATCTATAGGATCAACAAACCTATGGAAACTTAAGGAATGATATAAGAAAATATAAAGAAATAAATCAAAATAAAATAAAAAAATTAATATACGTAGAAGATAGAAGAACCTCGATTCCAAATGAACAAATTTAAACTCGAAAAAGATCTTTCTTGTTCTTAAAAAAGAAGGGGCAATTGGGAGTATGATATAATGCTAATTAACCTTTACCATACTGGTCCAACACTGATGAGGATAGTGACTGACCAATAGCCTATTGGTCCAAAGGTGATGAAAATGTTTGGATGGATATAATAGGATCCATTGCTTTCATATCACACAAACAAGCAAAAAGATTTAGGGTGACTACTAAGAACAAATGAAAGAGATTATAGAGTGCAAGAGTATAAAAGAAAAAGAAAAAAATAGAGATGATTCACTTCAAGGAGTATATCTGTTCAACAAAAATGTGATGGAGATCACTCAAGAAGTAGGTTGAAATTTCTCCTCTAGCATTAATATGTTGTAATAACTTCAACAAGGTTTAGCCTTCTCAAATGATCTAGCTGGTTGTGTCTGGCCATTGAACAAATGGAGAACAAATGCACATAGAATTCATCTTTGACCTCTTTCTACTTGCATCACTCACAGGGGCAAAAGTACCAGTGAGAGAATCTATGTGCATAAGTGAATCAGCAACATACATATATCAAGCACACAAAATAAAATCTTTCACAACCACTCTCATAAATAGCTGGAGTAGTAGCTTACGCATTCAATCTTCTACACGAGTAGTTCTTCATGCAATACAACTTCCCTATGAACAACAAACCAGAGCAGTCATGATGGTAGTGATCTATGTTAAGGCACTCTTTATCTACAGTTCAGTGCTACTTAATCTGCAGATACTTGCTGCAGTTTATTCTTAGAATACACTAATGCTCTAGAGAAGCTCTCTGAGCTGAAGGTTATGTAAGCACCCTTCTTTGTCATTTAGATCAGGAGGTCAGCTCCAAGCACACATTTGAGACCACCACCATGTTTCAGAAGGGATGAACATGATCGAGAAAGTAAGTATCAGTAATTCTTCTTACCTCTTAGCAGATTAGCTACAAGCTTGCATTGTCCTTGGACCGGAGAAGCTTTGGGTGGCATGTCTGAGGGGCTTATCACACACGGAGAGTGGAATCACTGTCTCAAAAGCTTCCACAAGCAGTGCCACTTTCTGCCGCCTTGCCGGAGCCAGCTTTGTCACTGCCTGCTGGAGTGCATAGTCTATCATCCACTCCTCGGAGTTCTTTCTTTCATCCATCATCTGGTGCCGGAGATCCACCTTCTCTGCTTCTGGGTCAGGCTCCTCCGGCAGAAAGTTGGGTGGCCGTGGATTGAACCCTCTCGTCTCCTCCATCTCCTCGTCTGTTCTCTTCCTTGTGGTATTCGTTCTCGCATTCGGATCACCATCATCATCATCATCGATAGACCTGTTGAATTCAGTATTACTGATGGTGATTGGAGTAAGCTCAGCGTCATCGGTGCTGCGGTCATTGCTCTCAGCTTCTTCTGGTTCTGATTGGATTTGATGGTCTTCTTCGATATCATCATCTTGATCGGCACAAGGAACATGGACTTGTAGCAGCGAACTTGTCTCGGCCTCTTTGATATCAATCGAAACTGCTTTATCTGAATTAATGGCACTGTCCTCTGATCCACCGTTGCCATTCTCCTGCAGTGATTCAGGTTCCGGTGCTCTCGAGCATTCTTCATGGCACGCCTCTGCCTCGGACTGATCAGTGTAAACCTCGTTCTCGAATAGCATTCCTAGTATCGGACCCAGTTCATCATCGGAGAAAGAACTCTTGTCATCAGCAAATGGATCCACATCTTCCTCCAATTCGATCTCGGAGGACTCGGAAACCTCTGCATGATCCTGGCTGTCTTTGCCCGTTCCAGCGCTTGCCCAACATTCCTCTGTAGTCGAGCTTGGGAATTCCTCTTTGGCAGCTCCATCTTCCTGATCACAACTCTCATACTCGAGAAAGTTCATCAAGACCTCCAAATCATCAACCGAAAGGTCACTGCTTTGGTCGACATCGCCTTCCAAGATTACATCCTCGAGATTTCTCTTACCATCTTCCTCGTGCTTGAAACATTCCATGTCACCCTGCTTCACATAGATCTCGACGAAGTAATCACTGCCTATTTCTTCGATCAGGGAAGAAAGCTTGACGGCTGCTTGCCCTGTATCCATCTGCTTCGAGTCCTTCCTCGAGCCCTGTCTTCTGAACGGAGAAACCCCTTTCTGCTTCATGCACTTTTGGGCTTTGAGCATCTTCCGCCGCGACGCCAAGAAGCACTTGAGAGGAGGCAGATCGGCATGCCAGTGGCCATTCAGAGAGCAGTACTTGTAAGGGCAGACCTTCGCGACAGAGGTGCCCTCGGCTTCGGTGCCTCCAGGGCGAAGCTCCAAAGCCTTCGGAAACTTCAAATCCTTGAGAGTCGACGAGCAGGTCGCCCTGTTCACCTTCGGCCGGGGACACGGATGAACTGCGAAGTTCCTCTTCGACGAAAGCCTCAGTAGCTTCGAACTAAGCTTCCTTCTCAAGGCTCTTGCAGGTTTCGGCCCGGCTTGAGAAGACGGACAAACACTTGCCTGGCTCAACCGATTCGAACTCTTCTTGCTTCTTTTCCTATCAGTAGCGGCGGTGGGATCACGAGTCACCTGCCGCTGCTCCTTCCTGGCGTCCGAACTGGTTGTGGGCTTCATATAATTCGGCATGACCCGCGGTGTCTCCTTGTTCATCCTCATCTTGGTCTCTCCTCCTTCCTTGGCACTCGATCCTCGTTGCTCAAGGGAGGAAAGGTGCCCGATCTTTCTCTGAACCATGGCCGGAGCATGAAACGAAGAGCGGAAGAGGCGGGTGGCTTTCTTCCTTCCTATGATCTGATTGGAATGGGAAAGGCTGCAAGGAAGGAAGTTCTTGTCGTGGGGAAGGAAGATGGACGGCAAAGCTTGGAGGAGCTCCGAGAAGAAGAGATTCTGCCTTCTACGGTTTCGATGCTTAGTTTAAGAGTGGGTATAGCCCCTTGTTTTGTTTTTCCCTTGTGGAGGTGTGATTGACGTAGCCATCTGTGACCGGAGTTGATGTGGGAAGATGATGATGTCTATCTCCGCTTTGGTGGTGGGGATGGGATTCTAGTATTTGCTAGTCTCTGGATGTGCCACTGAATTATCTTTTTGTCCCATGATACGGAGGATATTGGCACTTTGTGTATGTGTGATTACTCGTCACATTTCTGCATTCTTTTCTACTTCCGAAAACTCAGCAAGATAATTTTTAGATACACTTATTACAATAGAACCTTGAAAATTGAAACAAGAATCAAAGCCATGTGATCATCATGTGTTGTTCTTCATGGTGATGATAGAACAGGGATCAAATTTGCCGCTTTAGCATATCTCAGGATTTTGATGGTACGCTCATGTTTGTAAAGCCAAGATGGAGTCTTCCCACTATTCCTCTAATCTTTGTTTTTTGTTCTACTCTAATGTAATAGGTTAACATTGTAATATTATTAGAAAATAATATATTCACTTTTAGAAGAAAAAGGAAACAAGACCATCATGGTGAGCTTATAATAATGACAACAACGACAAGCAACTACGCAATATTGGTCGAGAAGAATTTAGAAGGCAACATGCAATACATTTGTGCCTTAGTGGGATGAGTTTTGATGTTATGATAAATTATTTCTTTGCAACTTAGATGGCCAGCAATTGAGTTATCAAACTAACTCTTTACTAGCAAATAATGTACTGGTAGAAGGTTCATTTACATAACTATTTTCTCTTTTGCCTTGCAATGGATGTTATGCTATATTGGATTAAGGTAATAAAATTTTCCCTACTATGTATCAATATATAGATATATCAGATATTTATAAAATAATCATGTTCTAATTATTTTTTAATATTCGAAATAGTTTACTCTTTCCATATATATTATGGACACTGCATAGTCGCTGCACATTAGACCTTTGTCTTGCGATTTTAAATATATAATAAATAGATCATGGGATCCGGTCGCAAGAGGAACGAACGGTTGTGATGAAGGCGCGCTACTGCTAATGAAAAGACCCGTCCTCGCCATCCAACGCAACAAGAGATAGTGGAGGCTGCCGCTCCCCTTTCTGGGCCGAGACAGGGAACATGTCTCCCCACCACATAAAGGAGATGCTCCTCAAGAGCCCCGAGTCACGGTGCCGTGTCGGCAAAGAAACTGCTGTTTCCTGGCTCCATCGAGACACGCGGGTCTCCACCGGACAAATGACAAAGGATGAGATATAATGCGTGGGTATTGGGGCCCGGTTAGGTCTGGTCGGCGAAAAAGGGTGGCCTGCGGGGCTGCACCTCGCCACCCCCACCGGTCGTCTTTGGCCTGACACAGAGAGGGAAGAAAAGAGATGAAAGAATCGTTCTTACCTCCCCTCGTGTCTCCCATGTCTGCCGCCCCCCATTTCTTTCTCCCTGTTTGCTTCAGGAAGAAGGACACGTTATCTTTTGATCTTTCTATAAGAATAGTATCAGCCGACACTCCGATCCTTTGAGCCGCCCGCCCCTACAGAGAAGACCACGCAATCAGTGTTCCTGGGAGGGACCCCGGAATTCTTTTCAACTGATACACCTAAATTAAAATATCTATTGCTGAGATCTAAAATTAGTGCGACAATTCAAGTCTTTAAGTTGAGTTCAGGAAAGGGCAGATATTGTTAGGAGAAATAAACATTCAAATCTATAATTTAGAATGATTTCAGATACGAATATGCCAAAATTCATGAATAAGTAATCCTTTGCCATTACAAAGTATGTCTTGTGTTGGGGGTCATGGACATCCTTTCCCACTAATGGAGGTCAATTCTCTTAGGCTTTGCAGCAGAGAAAAGAAGGCAAACTATGTTGCCTATCAATTTTCCTGGGCTTTTTGATGTGTTTGCAGGAGGGAAAAGAAGGCAAATTGTGTGGCCTTTATTAGGTTTGCATGGTTTAGCTGCAAAAGCTTAAAAGAAATGATGGTGATTTATCATCTAATAGAATACGTTATAAATGTTTGTAATCATGATAAATTGTAGAACTCAAATCTCTTGGATCGCTTGGAAGGTAAAACCATAGACTTCAGGAAATAAAGTTTATCATCTAATAAGTTGGGAGTTCTCACTGCAAATTCCTTGTAGCTGTTTGGGATCACCGTAATGACTATCTATTTCACAACCATCGGTTGCAACCTTTTGCTTCATGAAATAAAGCCATTGTAATGTCTAATGATCAAAGACGTCATCATTCTACTTCCGAGATAACGATGGCAGACCTCTTCAGTGAGAAGAGTATGATTAGTCAAAACATGATAATTCTTTCGGTATCAGCAATGTGATTGCAGAGACATTATATCATCAAAAATCGACAAGGACAATTAGTGAAAAAAAATGCAAGCTATTAAACCAGGAAATCCTACAACAAATGGAATGCAGGGTGATATATGGCGTACCAAAGAAGGCACAATAAAGGGTTCATTTAGATGAGCCAACATCTGGGTTAATTTAGATTGTCAATGACTATTTAACCTCTTTAACAATTCCAATGCTAGACCATGGAATAAGTTCAACTATTGCAGTACTTGTGCGTGTGACACAAACATATTGTAATAGAGTAGAGATCAAGAAGAGACATAAATCTCATGTGGGCTCATCTGCAGATATTGCCATTGGCCCACTAACAAGAAAACCCAAAATTCATGTGGAGTCTTCTACAATGGTACAGTCATATTGAACGCTTCAGCTACGAATGATAGGAATATATTAGAAACCATACTTTTCAAGAATTTGAATTTGATTCAATCATCACCTTCTACAGAAACCTTTGTCATAAAAGCATAAACTATAATAAAAGATGCAATTGTTTCTCCTGTCAATCTCTTTCCCTTCTCAGCCCTTCTTGTCTTTATTATTTTAATTCTCTGGTAATATTATTCTTTTAATTTTAGTAGCATTAAAATCTCCACATATCATCCAAGGTATGCTTAAAAGTTTAAATTGCTGCAAATTAAGTCCTATGTCCTCAATTTCAGCTAACCTGCATGAGTTGAAGGATTCAGATTCAATGTCATAACACTCTTTCATATCAAAGAACTCCATCCTGTTATAATTCCAGACTCCCTAATAACCCAAGTCAATGTGTTTCATTCATCAATGTAGTTCTTGCTTATGCATCTTAATCTATAATTGCTCACCTTTGTTTAGATCCCTACACATGAATGACGTTGCACTTGTTATCCTCGGGAATCCTCCTTGCCTTTTTTTTTTCTTTTTTTTTCAGTTTTTCACACCTCATCAAGATTTTGAAATTCCATGATTGCACATTTTTTTAATCACTACTTCTACAACATGATAGCACTCCATGCATGTCCCATAGCATACACCTCCAACAGCATGGTATTTTATAGTACTTAATCAACTACTAGGAACATTGTTTAGGGACATCACACACTGTTACTAGGCCCTTAAGGACTTCACCGTAACTTTTAGTCACTTTATATTTAGTCTAGGGTCAAATCCACATTGTGTTGCAAATTAACATTGCATTTGTAGAAATATTGTTAACGACCAAGATGGTTGTGGAGCTAAGTTGGCCATTTGGTCTTGTTGAGCTTATCTAAGGAGAGAAGTGGCCTACTTCTATCTTTTTCTTTAGTATAATGGGTTTTTCTTTTGTTATTTATCTTGTTAATCACAAAAATATGCACTCCTTTTGACAACTATAGGCCCCATGTTGGAGGGTGCATTACCATTTGTTTTATGAATAATGGGTATTGGGTCTCTAAGTTTTTATCATCATAAATTGTCCCCTCCATATGATTGTCTATTGTTTCCATAGCATTCTGCATATACTTCAGAACTAGCCATGAATCCACCGCCACCACTCATCTAGCATCATGGTTGCAATGGCCACCATGGCCATCATCAACATGAAAGTGGTCTTGACAGTTTAGATCTTGGTGGTATTGTTGTTTCTCTCAACCTGTCCCTCATAACCATTTACATGTTCAACTCTTTGTTCGAGTGGAATAGAAGACGCACCAAATTTCAAACAGCAGGCACTAAACTAAAAACTAGTATGCATTATCAAGCATTATTATTCTGACGGAATGATCTTAATGTGACTAATTTGTTCAATAAACTCGAGAACTATCTTCTTTTATGAACCCGATGTCTTAAGATTAGGATACTATCACAATCCTCAAGTCATTAAACTTTAGGGACTCTCATGAGCAACCTCTAACATTATGTCCCGATTAGAGAATACCACCATAATACATGAAGTTAGATGAGCTTGGTTTTCCACTCCTAATCGATGTACTAGTCCTTTGTAGGTACTTGATCAACTTGGTTTCTCAATTGCGTTCCTCCCTTGAAGATAGCCATAAAACAGAACTCCTTCAAAGCATCCTTGAGGGTTTGGTCATGTCACACAAAAAATCTAGAAGCCAGAGATTGGAACTGGAACAACCAACTCTATCATCGACAAGGAACAATGGACAGAACTGATCTAGGTTGTAGAAGCTATTTGGCTTTGCCATGAGAATAGCGTTAATAAGAAAGGGGGTGGGAGGGAGAAGGGATGCAAGGGTGAATCCACTAGAGTGCTTTAAAACAAATGAAGCAACAATGGAATCCTTAACAACCATGATAGCCACATAAATAGTAGATCCACCTGGTATCACATTATAAATAATGGTGATGCCCAAGAAAAACATTATAAGCATCAACTTCAAGGAAAGGATCGACAAGCAGGGGAGAGTTTGTGGGGCTTAAGGAAAGGTCACAAAAAAGGAAATGAGATTTGGTTGAGAGGAAGGCCACAGTTTATGAAGCACATCTTGTTTGAAGGTAAGATAGGAGGGAAGTGGATGAGAGGAAAGAAGATGGTGCTTAGAGAAATAGAATGCAACTGGATGGGAAAATGAAGACTTATTCTAGCTATCTTTAATTAATATTGATGTGTTAAAGAATTACAATAAAGATGACAAAAGCCCTATAAGAGTGTTAACTGTAAATGAAGGGATAGAATGATTCCAACTCTGAAGAAGGGATTGGTAGATTTTGCCTCTAAGGTCACCACTTTCAGAGGTAGTGGTGATTGGTATTCACTTTTAACATCAATTATGACTACTTGTGGTGATTGAAGGTGATCAAATGCTCTTGTAGTTTGGTTAGTGAAGGCGGTGCGATGAAGGAGGATCAAAGATGGGTGATCGGTGGAGAACAGGGGTGGGCTATGCTAGTGGGGTTTGCATTTGGAGAAAGAATGTGTA